TTGCGTTGGCTCGATGAAGACTAGATGATTGCTCCCCCATAGTCCACTATGGGTGAGCGACTCTTCGGCACATCTTCACAAGTCCATTGACACCACAATGGATGGCAAGATTCAAACTTGATTGCTCCCCCATACTCCATTATGGGTGAGCCACTCTTCGTGTTGCTCCACTTGAACTTGCACACGGCAAACTTGATGACGATCACCACTTGATGTCATCCTCCATGGGTTGTATGGGATCTTCCTCTTGACGCAAGACCATGGAAACATACCATGGGAACACTTGGTCCCTCTCGGTACAACTTATGCGCTTTGTGTGTTGATCAACTTGAATCACTCTCTGTACTTAGGCTAGATCAACCTTGAATCTTTCCAACTCTCTTCATTTGGATGATGTCTTGAAGGTAAACATGAATGATCACATAATCTTCTTCTTCAAGACATGCTTGCAATAAGCTCAACACTCACATGACCAATCTTTGGATAATTCCTTAATAGCACCTTGGTCAACTCATAAACTCCTTGAAACCAACACATGGACTTCAAGAAAAGCCTATGGACAAAACCTTCAAATATAACTCAAGGCAACCATTAGTCCATAGAGATTGTCATCAATTACCAAAACCAAACATGGGGGCATCGCATGTTCTTTCACACTCGGTAATCCTCTAGCCAAGTTTCAGGCTTGGACTCTCCAGTGAACTTGCTGACTCCAGTCGTCAACCTGAAGTTGGGAGGAATCACTGCAGCCCTGATGGCTCTGCTGAAACATTCCGGATCTGAAACATGAACTCTGCTGCCAGTCGGATGATCTCTGTCAAGGTCTTCCCTGTGCGCTCTGTTCCGGTCGACTAGACCTTGAACGATAATAGATCTCGCATCAAAGCCTTGGCTCTCTTGGGTCGACCGGTACTATGCTCTCGCCACTGTGAAGGCATCTGTTATCGTATTGCCGAGGCACATATGACCCACTCCTCGGAGGAGGTGTGGGCAGTCGACGACGGTCGTCACGGCCGAGTCGGTGATCATACTGCCCATGGTTCCTGTACTGATCCTGCTGATGCCCACGACCTTCATGCCGCAGGGGCGATCTTGGGCTCTGGGTTAACTGAACTCTATCCGCCACCACAGACCTGCTATGAATCCTATTCCGCGACCGAGATACCGCTGCGTTCTGTTCTCCTGCTGCCCGAAGTAAGGCCCGGATCTGCAACAAACCTCTGCCAGCATCCGATTGGGAAGGCTGAATTGACTCTGCTATACAGGCCGCAGCTGTGAGATTTTGAATCTGAGTCCGGTATACCTTAGGTTGAGGCGGAAAAAGTTATCGTCGACTGGACTCAGGGATCCGCTCCCGAGCATGCTCGTCGAGTGTGTGCTGAAGGTTCTCCAGTCGAGTGCGCTCAGCCAAATTGTCCAGGCGCACCGCTTCCAAGGCCCGAGCCTCGGGGGTTTCTCCAACGATGGGCTTGTGGAGTGCATCCATGTTGCGGCGACAAAGTTCTTCTCTCTGCTGTGAAGAGAGAGGTTTGGGACGGTACTCCTCGTGAACGCGCGACGGATCGGCGCCACCATCACCGCCGTTGTCGCGGCGGGAGCCAGGCGGACTACGCGGTCCGTCGACCATCAAAACATCAGCCGTAGGGTCGCTGTTATCGCACTCGGATATGGTCTCGACGGAGCCAGCCAAACAGGCCGTAGAGAGTTTCGTCGGGCTCGATTGCTGCGACTTGATGGGTGGCCGAATGATGAGCCACCGCATGTTTCACCCACAGCTGAAGCCGCGACCGACCGGATCGCTTGCGACGGCGAATAGTAGGGAGAGAAGACACTACGGGAGTCGGCCGATACTGGGTCGACGGCTGCCGGAGAAGGACGCCACGTACGCACGCGCGAAAGTGCGTCGCCCCTCGGACGGTGAGCGTCTTGATGTCAAGGGGAGCTTCTTGAAGCCAGGCGGAGTCGTCGGTGATGAAGACGAGCGCGCCGAGACGGATCTCGCGGCCCTCAGCCAATCCGCCGTCGGAAACCATGATGATGGGAATCGGAAAAATCGCAACTTCACCGACAAGTCGCTAAGACACCTGCCCCACGGTGGGCGCCAACTGTCGTGGTCCTAATACTGACAGTAGAAAGGGGGGTAGGTATGGAGAGGCAAGATCTCAGCTATGGTGAAGGTGTACACACAAGATTTACGAGTTCAGGCCCTTCTCGGTGGAAGTAAAAGTCCTACGTCTCGGTGCCCGGAGGCGGTCGAATGGATTATATGTGAGGAGAGGGGTGGCTTATATAGAGTGCGCCAAGACCTCAGCCATCCACCATTACAAGGGGTTCAATGTACATAAAGACGGGGCGTTACTGATAACGCCAGCCATAAGTGCTATTAATGATCTTAAAGAATACAGAGTGAACGCCTGACCGTTGCAGTGTTGAGTGACTCCTGGTCTTCAGTAGGTCGAGTGATTCCTTGTATGGTCGAGTGACATCAGGTAGGAGGGGTACCCGAGTAATATGATTAGTCGAGTGGATTGCACTCGACACCTTTGACTGGGGGTTCTTTGTTGTCTCTTGGACTTCTTTGCTTCTAGAGTAGTGACCTTGGGTAGGGCGTATAGGTCAGGTCTATGACCCTACCCCGGGTTTGTATCCTCATCTGAGTGCGGTATACCTTAGGTTGAGGCAGAAAAAGTTGTCATCGACTGGACTCAGGGATCCGCTCCCGAGCATGCTCATCGAGTGTGTGCTGAAGGTTCTCCAGTCGAGTGCGCTCAGCCAAATTGTCCAGGCGCACCGCTTCCAAGGCCCGAGCCTCAGGGGTTTCTCCAACGATGGGCTTGTGGAGTGCATCCATGTTGCAGCGACGAAGTTCTTCTCTCTGCTGTGAAGAGAGAGGTTCGGGACGGTACTCCTCGTGAACGCGCGACGGATCGGCGCCACCATCACCGCCGTCGTCGCGGCGGGAGCCAGGCGGACTACGTGGTCCGTCGACCATCAAAACATCAGCCGCAGGGTCGCTGCTATCGCACTCGGATGCGGTCTCGACGGAGCCAGCCGAACAGGCCATAGAGAGTTTCGTCGGGCTCGATTGCCGCGACTTGATGGGTGGCCGAATGATGAGCCACCGCATGTTTCACCCACAGCTGAAGCCGCGACCGACCGTATCGCTTGCGACGGCGAATAGCGGGGAGAGAAGACACTACGGGAGCCGACCAATACTGGGTCGATGGCTACGGGAGAAGGACGCCGCGTACGCACGCACGAAAGTGCATCGCCCCTCGGACGGTGAGCGTCTCGATGTCAAGGGGAGCTTCCTGAAGCCAGGCGGAGTCGTCGGCGATGAAGACGAGCGCGCCGAGACGGATCTCGCGGCCCTCAGCTAATCCACCGCCGGAAACCATGATGATGGGAATCGGAAAAATCGCAACTTCACCGACAAGTCGCTAAGACACCTGCCCCACGGTGGGCGCCAACTGTCGTGGTCCTAAGACTGACAGTAGAAAGGGGGTAGGTATGGAGAGGCAAGATCTTAGCTATGGTGAAGGTGTACACACAAGATTTACGAGTTCAGGCCCTTCTCGGTGGAAATAAAAGTCCTACGTCTCGGTGCCCGGAGGCGGTCGAATGGATTATATGTGAGGAGGGTGGTGGCTTATATAGAGTGCGCCAGGACCCCAGCCATCCACCATTACAAGGGGTTCAATGTACATAAAGACGAGGCGTTACTGATAACGTCAGCCATAAGTGCTATTAATGATCTTAAAGACTACAGAGTGAACGCCTGACCGTTGCAGTGCTGAGTGACTCCTGGTCTTCAGTAGGTCGAGTGATTCCTTGTATGATCGAGTGACATCAGGTAGGAGGGGTACCCGAGTAATATGATTGGTCGAGTGGATTGCACTCGACACCTTTGACTGGGGGTTCTTTGTTGTCTCTTGGACTTCTTTGCTTCTAGGGTAGTGACCTTGGGTAGGGCGTATAGGTCAGGTCTATGACCCTACCCCGGGTTTGTATCCTCATCTGAGTGCGGTATACCTTAGGTTGAGGCAGAAAAAGTTGTCGTCGACTGGACTCAGGGATCCGCTCCCGAGCATGCTCGTCGAGTGTGTGCTGAAGGTTCTCCAGTCGAGTGCGCTCAGCCAAATTGTCCAGGCGCACCGCTTCCAAGGCCCGAGCCTCGGGGGTTTCTCCAACGATGGGCTTGTGGAGTGCATCCATGTTGCGGCGACGAAGTTCTTCTCTCTGCTGTGAAGAGAGAGGTTCGGGACGGTACTCCTCGTGAACGCGCGACGGATCGGCGCCACCATCACCGCCGTCGTCGCGGCGGGAGCCAGGCGGACTACGCGGTCCGTCGACCATCAAAACATCAGCCGCAGGGTCGCTGCTATCGCACTCGGATGCGGTCTCGACGGGGCCAGCCGAACAGGCCGTAGAGAGTTTTGTCGGGCTCGATTACCGCGACTTGATGGGTGGCCGAATGACGAGCCACCGCATGTTTCACCCACAGCTGAAGCCGCGACCGACCGGATCGCTTGCGATGGCGAATAGCGGGGAGAGAAGACACTACGGGAGCCGACCAATAGTGGGTCGAAGGCTGCCGGAGAAGGACGCCGCGTACCCACGCGCAAAAGTGCGTCGCCCCTCGGACGGTGAGCGTCTCAATGTCAAGGGGAGCTTCATGAAGCCAGGCGGAGTCGTCGGCGATGAAGACGAGCGCGCCGAGACGGATCTCGCGGCCCTCGGCCAATCCACCGCCGGAAACCATGATGATGGGAATCGGAAAATCGCAACTTCACCGACAAGTCGCTAAGACACCTGCCCCATGGTGGGCGCCAACTGTCGTGGTCCTAAGACTGACAGTAGAAAGGGGGTAGGTATGGAGAGGCAAGATCTCAGCTATGGTGAAGGTGTACACACAAGATTTACGAGTTCAGGCACTTCTCGGTGGAAGTAAAAGTTCTACGTCTCGGTGCCCGGAGGCGGTAGGCGGAGCTATTACGCACGGGCATGAAGCCGTCGAACTGGGTGGCCTGCACCATCTTGCCGAGGCGGAGCGCGTCCTTGGCAATGGGGGACTTGCAGGACTTGCAGGAGGACCGCCCCGACTTGGCGTACTCCGCCTTCCAGGCCTTGGGCAGCGCCGCCGCCATTTCCGCCGCTGCCGCTCCCCTCTCCTCTCCCCTCCCCTCTCCGCCCGCCGCTTCTTGGTGTTGGTGTTGGCTCCCCCGGCACCAGCAGGTGTGGCCGTCTGGGTGGAGGAAAAAAGGGCGTTCGCTGTTTAAGGCCGGATGAGAATGCTCTCTCCTGGTAATTACGTACATATTTTAGGAGCTTGTTGAAATATAAAACCTACCTCTGCGTTTTGGTTATTTCTTTGCCTCGGTATAATAACACGTGTTTGAGTGACAATTATCCCCTTCATCAATGGCACGTGCACACATCTCAAAATTCAACTTTGAAAATCAGAACAATATAATCTCATTGTGAGTTCGTAAATTGTACCATCGAAACTTCTTTCGAATATAATCCAACGATATAATTTCTGTCACATATAGCCCGCGTTTGTTTAGTCTAATTTATGGTCAACATTTAGTTGAATGGATGGGGTATATAGAATATAACATCGATTGGTTTTTCCCCTTTGTTTTCATATTTCGGCCCACCATCAGATTTCTCTGGATTCTGCCCTCTCCTAGTATGCTATGAACTGAACCCTTGTTGCATTGTTCCTCATCGTTGCAAGCATCGGTTCGTTGCCGCTCTTGATGGCGTTGCATCGCGCGTCCATGTTCAGGTCGTTAATGAGTACTCTCGGTCTCCCTCCTACTGGTACCTAAAGCATGGTGTTGAACCATAGTGGCATTGCGGCATAATGAGCAGAAGTGTGTTGCCCCGGTACTTCGACTCATCTCAACACAAGAGCGAGGGGTGGAGGAGTACACTGTGGGTTGATGCGGCGGTGACAAGGCCGATATGGCGGTCGTGCTTCATGCCAGAATTGTTCTTCTCATATAGTCATGCTTTGATGTTGTCATAACATGGTCGTTTCCACAATCTCTACTACCTAAAAGAACCGTAAGGTTCCGACTCCCGTCTTACGTCCTCCCATACCTTTGTCCCATCCTCTCCCCCCTACAACAATTTCCCTCTCCTCCCGATCAATATTTGGTAATTCATTCAATTCACGAATGGCAAGTAATATGATATTTGGTTAATGCATATAACACAATTAAGTCAAATCAATCACGGAAGGTAATCTCTCATATTCCTTCCCTTAACCGTTCTCACTACCTCTGTGTGATCAGACTGTACAATTGTCCAAACAAAAGTATATGCTTTGTTTTTCATTTCTTTTATGTCTGTAACTCAGCTTCGGTATCCTCTCAGCTTGACAATAATTCCAGTGGAGTGGAGTTGCCACTTAATCACCAATGACTCTTCCTCATAAAAGGAAGTTTAATGCTTATGTACCGAATCAGGGTTAGTAATTCATGGTGCATAGCAATTGCTTTTACATTTTGGAATATTAATGTGCTTTACAGGCTTCGTACTCCATCGATACTATGCAACTCATGTGCAGGATACAAAATATTCACCTAGGGAAAACAATTGCTTTCGCTGCCGAGATATATTCTGCAATGGATCTACAGCTAGGATGCATATGCATTTCCCAGCTAGATTTTTTTCTCTCATGGGGCTGTTGATATCTTTGAGAAATGAGATAACACAATGTTATCATGGTACGATCCACCTCAATTGTGCATAGTTATATTTTCAATTTTTGGCAACTATCCTGCTAAAAGAATTTTATGTGGTAACCTGCATGAGTTTTTGAATAAATTTATAGAAGATTTACAGCCCGAGAATACTTTTCTCTTGTAGCTTTTCAGCTTCTGGAATAATACTCCTATGTTGATCCATGGCATTTTCTTTCTATTCAACACTTTTTATGCAATACAAAGCGACCTTGAAATATTATGTAATGAGAAATATCTGCTATAACTAACTTTGTTTTAGCATAGAACATTTGCCTCTTCTCCTATTTGAAAAGGCTGGATATAGACATTATGATCTACACCATATATAAAAAGAATGTTGGGCAACAAGGCATGGATATAGATATTGCTAGTAGCCACCGAAGAATTTTTACGAAACATGAGAAGATAGTGTGCACTATCTTCCAAATGACTCCCCTCACCAATTGGCTTGCACATTTTTGTCTTCATGTTTATTACCTGGACTTGTTCAATATCCCAACATTAGTAAAGCATTTGCCATACATTCTTCCCGAGAATCATGCATTTGCTCTTTTCTAAATAATGTTAATTGTTTGCACAATCCATTTTCTATCTTTTGAAGGGAGGTAGAAGCTAGGATGCATAATGCCTGGTGCTTGCTAGAGTGAGATGAAGTAGGAGGAATAGCTTGTTTGGAGGAAACATTATGGAATTTTTTTTAATTCATCTACATTAGCAACTCCTGAGAAAGTAGGAGCAAGAAATGATTTAATGGTAAAAATAAGTCAACAATGCGGCCTTATGTGCCTTAAAGATATATGTTAGAACAAAAAAAATGTGCCATAAAGATATACATGGTAGAACAACTAGATTATATACTCCCGTAGCAACGCACGGGCAATTACCTATTAAGGTAATAAGACCGGAAAAATGCATTACGTTTCACGGATCCCATTGTCTCATATTTTCTACGCTCCTCGTAGATACCAACACATGTCACCTAGAGGTCGGAAATTCGATAAACAATATGTTGACCTATGTAGGTCTTCATATCATTTTGCATGAGCCCTTAAATTGAACAATACACATTACATTCACCACAGATAACACAACTTATTGAACAATCATAGAACTATTACCAGAAATTGTGTTATATAGATATCTCACATATCCCCTACACCTCCCACGCCTAGGGGGATTACTCACGCACGATAGGAGGATAACTAACCAATTTAGAGGTCAAAGGGAAATCATCTCAATAATATCACAAAGATCCCACAATAAGATGAATGACTAAACAAGTCACAATCTCGAGATAGATATGAATAGAGTTACAAACCCTAATTTTACAACTTGGAAATTATCTCATTATGGTGATGACCACGGTGAATGAAATGGAGACGAGGCGAAAGAGAGGGGATGGATCTCCGGGAGTTCTTCTTCTCTGGATCTCTTCTATTCTTGTGATGGATGTGGTGGTGGCAGCTCCTCTGAGGATTCGATGTTGTCCAAATGGGAAGTTGGTCCGTATGACTTTAGTTGTTGGGATCTTGATTCGTTTCATTCCAAAAATGTATATTCCTGCACATCAATGGGAAAAGCAAGTTTTCTTCTTTCTCGAAGGCTTAGCGTTAGGAAGACAATCGAAAACCTTTTTGAAACCCACATCAAAAACTCTCATAAAAATGACAAAAAATATCGGGCCATCAGTAGCCCCCTGTCCATCCAGTGTCGTTGCAACGCGGTGCAGAGGGCGAGCTCCTCATCGACCTCCACCTTTGCCTCACGGGAGAGGGCGTCCTAATCAATGGGGTCATCTTTGTCGTTATCGATGCACGATATTAGTAAAAAAAGGGGGGGCATGGAAGGGAGGGGAATCGACAGGGGAGCGAAGCGGTGAGTGAGAGGGTGAGGTAGGGTTTGGTCCAGGTGGGGATTTTTAGTATGGATAGGGTGGGGGTGGTGTAGGCCAGCGTTGGATGCGCTAGTGGCGGGCGCATTCGGTCCACCCCGTATATGGCTGGATATGATGGGTGTCGGTCAACCCGGGCGTATATGGACATTTGAGGAGGTCGGTTGGGTCGAAAAAAGCTAATCAAACAATGTCGTCTCGGCTCACACGTCCGGGATTAAGGCATATCTCTCTCTATATAGTTTTGGTGATTGATGACAACACGTTTGCGGACTAACTGTGTGTTTTGAGCATTTCAGAGATTCATTCTTTGGCACGAGACGATTCCTTCCCCTGGGAGTTCTAATCAAAGACGGTGTAGCTCTTTCGTTTCTGTTTTGGTGGACATGTTTCGTAGGAGTCACTGTACTATCAAGAGGGGATCCGCTTTGGTAACGCTAGGGTGGAATCAACACGTACACATCCTCTTTGCACCCCCCCCCCGAGCCTTCCTGCTTCATTGGATCTTTCTTCTCCTTCCTTTGAGCTTGGTTTGGTCCCAGCGGCAGTACCGTGGTACCCAGCGGTAGTACCGCTCAAGAGCCACAGGCGGCAGTACCGCTCCGCAGCGGTAGTACCGCCTGGGGGTCCTCAGCCGGAGTACCGCTGCGGTACCGGGCTCCTACCACCTCGATTCGAGGGGGTCGCCTCTCGTGTCGGATTGTGCGGCACTAAGTCGCGGCAGTAGAAGCGGTAGTACCGCTCGTGAGCGGTAGTACCGCCCTACCACCGTGGCAGTACCGCACGGGGGCCAAGTCCTACTCACTTTCTTACCCTTCCAAACTGCACGACAGTACCGCAAGGGGGAGCGGTAGTACCAATGGGCCCAGCGGTAGTACCGCTGCCTCCTGCGGTAGTACCGCCCTCTGCGGAGCTGTTTTGGGGGGTAACGGTTGGATTCCCCCCCCCCACTATAAAAGAAGGTATTCTTCCCCAAAGTTGACTCACCTCTTCCCCCAAGCTCCATTGTTGCTCCAAGCTCCATTTTTGCCCGATCTCTCTTCCTAGCCAATCAAACTTGTTGATTTGCTCGGGATTGGTTGAGAAGGCCCCGATCTACACTTCCACCAAGAGAAATTTGATTCCCCCCACTAATCCCTAGCGGATCTTGTTACTCTTGGGTGTTTGAGCACCCTAGACGGTTGAGTTCACCTCGGAGCCATAGTCCATTATGGAGAAGCTTCGTGGTGTCGTTGGGAGCCTCCAATTCAGTTGTGGAGATTTCCCCAACCTTGTTTGTAAAGGTTCGGTCGCCGCCTCCAAGGGCACCAATAGTGGAATCACGGCATCTCGCATTGTGTGAGGGCGTGAGGAGAATACGGTGGCCCTAGTGGCTTCTTGGGGAGCATTGTGCCTCCACACTGCTCCAATGGAGACGTACTTTCCCTCAAAAGGAAGGAACTTCGGTAACACATCCTCGTCTTCATCGGTTCCCCTTTTGGTTATCTCTCACCTTTACTTG